GTCGTAAACAGTGTCGTTCGTGCATCTTCTCAATTTCTTTGCAACCTTAGACCACCGAACTTCTCCATTTTCTGTTCGACTCCACTTTCCTTTCTTCTGCTATCTTCATCCAAATCGGCAACCAAAACCGGCGCACGAACATGCATGTTCAATGGTTGTTTAAACTGAAAAACTGTTACACTCTCTCTCTGTCTGTTTCATCCGAATTGGTCCTGCATGGATGCCACTTTTCTGACGATCATTATAATTAGATATCGATATTCCCGTCTGACCATTGGATTCGTTACTTACACAGGGTTATTTTGCAAAACAATATACAGGGAGGTAGTATTCTATGAGCATTGCTCACAAAACGCCCATTGATTGTTCTTGTTCATCTTCTACATTATTATTATTTCCCGCCATCACAGCTCCACAACACTGGATTGTTTGGTATGGGCGGTCAGCAGGTTAAAGCTGTCTCCACACACCCAGTCCCTCCGCTACTTCCGCCACCAAAACATGTGACCGATGGACCGGACAATGCCACCACGAGTGATGCACAGAAGAAAGACGGTATGATGAAAACCGATTGTATCTCCTCGGATTCGATCGCGGTGTGGTTGGATTGGCCCGAGGCGCATATGGTGCATCTGATCACCGATAGCGGTGTGAAACGTCGTGTCAATGTTTGATCGTCCATCCACGCACACGCACTGATCGGCTCCCGTGTGTTCTGCGCTGTCAATCCATACATACATACATACATACACTTGGCCCCCGCCCGCCCGGTCTAAGGGCGTGAACCCACTCTGTTGTCTTTGCTCACAAACGATCCGAATAAGTATGAGCTCTTACACAAACAAAATCAACTTTGTACACATCTATTTAACCCCATAGTTTCCATCGCCTTGTGCACTGCCACCATCATTCTCTTGTTTGAAGAAGATATGTGCACAGAGAGATTGGTCAATTATCAAAGATATCCCAGTCTTTCCGTCCACTCTCCATCGCTCTCTCTCTCTCTCTGTCTGTCTGCCTCAACTATAATGTTAATTACTCTACCGATACATTCCACGCATTCTAGTCGCCCGTCGTCCCACTTCTCATCATCCCATGGCTTCGTATTTACCCGTTTCCCCAACTGTTTGCGTTTCCGTTGTATTTTCATACCTGTTGTTGTGCTCGTTGTTGTTGTTGTTGTTGTTTTCTACAGATTTTCGCTATCCTGACTCAAGCTCTTATATGAATGGTTTCGATCAAGTGACACCCACTAGAATGATACTTTGGTCCATCCACTCTCATTTTTTTCTGGCCTGGTTCCGTTTATTATTCTCCTCTCTTTACATATTTTAATCGTGTCTATTTTTCTTCCCTCCAACCCCTCCCACATTTATCTGATTTATTTGTCCTACAATCTGCTTGTAATCATCCCCGCTCCTGTTCCTGACTCAAAGCAACTGTGATCCACC